TGTAAGTTCAGAGGGATGTATTGGACAAACACATAAACGCTGCCCCTACTTAGGTGCCTGGATTCAACCAAAAACACTTCCACCCTTCCTAGAGCTGGGTTCTGAATTGTCGGGTTGACTTTTCAATATCAAACGTTTTAATGTTTACAACCCGACTGAATTACTGCATTAACAGTCAGCGGATTGTTCCTTGTGCTCTGCAAGGGTGGTAAGGACAGAGTGTTTGTTCTTTGTATAATCTGTAAAGTTCCCTTGCATATTATGCTTTTATTATCAAATGTGTCTGACTTGATAACAAAACAAATGAGCCCGATGCGAGAGAAGGAGAACCTACCAGAGAAGGCCCGACCTGCTGGCCCAGCTACTGGGCGGTACAGATGGGCGTGATGTTTCGGGGAGCTAACCCTCCAAGACGGACGCTGGGGGTCCAGAGTGCAGGGTGATGGGGACGGGAGCATGTGGATGCGGGTCCCGAGTCCTCCAGCCAGCTGGGCGCACCTGCGGCCTACTGACCGGCCGGCCGCTGGTCACCACAAGGCTTCGGGGGTGGCTGACTCGCTTCAGCCGCGTGCTTTATCGTCTCGTTCTCCGACACACAGAAGTCCAGCTCGTTGAAGCGCAACAGGAAGGTGTTCCAGTCCGTGGAAGAAGCAGGAAGTGTGCTGTGGTGTGTGCTGTGTGTGCGTGTGTGTTGTTTTTTGTGGTGTGTGTGTGTGTGTGTGTGTGTGTTGGTGTGTGTGTGTGTGTTGTGTGGTGTGTGTGTGGTGGTGTGTGTGTGTGGTTGGTGTGTGTGTGTGTGTGTTGTGTGTGTGGTGTGTGTGTGTTGTTATGTGTGGTGTGTGTGTGTGTGTGTGCTGTGTGTGTGTGTTTGTTGTGTTTGTGTGGTGTTGTGCTGTGTGGTGTGTGTGTGTTGTGTGTGTGTGTGTGCTGTGTGTGGCTTGTGTGTGTGCTGTGTGTGTGGTGTGTGCGTGTGTGTGTGTTAATGTTTTTGGCAGAGTGCTGATTACCAACATCTATTTGACTTTTACTTTGGAAAGAGGCCAGCCTTTAAGCCAGCTCTCCTTTTTGTATTTTCCACCACTGTACGTTTTTATTGGACTTAGTGCCTAATTCATCTCTTGTATTTTCTTTTGTTGAATCTGTGCTGTCCGGTTTTTCATTTCTTTATCTATTGCCCCTGCTTAAACTTACTGGATTCCCCACGGGGATCATGACCCCATTGTTACACGCAAAACCGAAAGCATACGAAATAAAAAGAGTCTCCGTTCCACACGAGACCGGTGCGAGCGCTGGAAACGCTGTAGTACATTGCCGCGGCCTGCTAAGTGGCGCTTGTTACTTTCCGCCACAAAAAATACACCAAAGCAGTGGAAGAAGCCCCGAGCATGGTTGCCTGGTTTCCCTTCTGTTTATGCCCCACGGAGGATTTGGGATTGAGCCACACCCGCCTCTTATCTTATCAATGTGTCACTGAAATCATATTGAAGTGTTGGGAAATGTAATCTTTAGAGCAGTGGTGTCCAAACTTTTTTCAGAGGGCCACATACAGAAAAATATACAAAGGGCTGGGCCGCTCACATATCGCCTCATAAATTAGAAAATCAATCAAATGTAGGTAAATTACGGTTGGAAAAAACACACAGCTCTCCGTAGGGTTTCATTTATTGTGTTGGCAGCTCATTCCTTAAAACAGGAGGCTCAGATTTATTATAATAAGAGGAAATATGAAGGTTGTATTTCAAGGTTGTTATGTTAATAAGTTATTGGGCTTTTTTCTTATCAACTAAGATTTGTTGGAACATTTTTCAACTTTAATTGACTGAATTTATTTGGAAATTGAGCCTATTAACACACACATACTGTGATATATGTTTAAGAAGTACAATAGCAGATGTTTAATTTGTGGGCCGTATTTCATTGTACTTTTTTAATTCGCTGAGGGCCGATTCAAAATGGTCCGTGGGCCGCATTTGGCCCCCGGGCCGTAGTTTGGACACCCCTGCTTTAGAGGGATGGCTAACAAACAGGTGTCTACATAGAGAAGCACACACATGTAAACAACCAAAACACTTCCACCCTCCTTAAAGCTGTGGTTCTGAATGATGTTGACTTTTTAATATCAACGTGTTAATGTTAACCCTTCTGATTCCCCTGTGTGTTCATGTTTTTGTCCGAAGGATTTGTTCTGATTTACCAAACATCCAGTACCTGATTTACATCTCTGAAATCATATTCACCCACATTGAAATAGAGGATGCAATAGGGCCGAGTTATTTGGAAAAAATGTCTGAATGCCATTATTTTGACTGGAATGGCAATTGTGATATGATTCAGAATATCGGAGGGAATCTTTTTTAACGATTACTCTCCTTTGATTCTGGAAATCAGAGATATTTAATTATATTTTTCCGATAACAAATACGACTCGTCCTGCTTTATTTGCGACAAAATGAGAACAATTGTTCAGCACTATCATGCACAAAACACAGCTTAGTTATTTATTGATATGCTCCTATCCTATTCAGATCCTCATGCAAATGTTTGTTTTTATGTATTATACTTAGCACACTATGACTACATTTCAAATTCTAATTTTCAAATTATTACGTTTATTCTGGTTTGTTTTGTGTTTGTATTTTAAATGTATTTATATTATGTTGTGTGAGCTTATCTCTCTGTACAGCACTTTGGTCTGAAGGTTTTAAAGTGCTATATAAATAAAGTTGGATTGGATATGTCTTATATATACATACTCAAGCTTTCCCTTACAAAGTGCATAACGTGTTGTATTGCATGCAGTATGCAAACAAAAGGGAGACACTTGTTATCATAACATTGCACATTGAACTTCTTGTACTTATATATCTGCTGCATACAGGGTTGTGCGCTTGAATGACCAGAACAGCAGACTGCAAACTGCAGTGTGCGATCGGAAGCTGAAGCTCGTTAAGCAAAATGCATTACCTTCTATATCCTTCTTTCCACATACTAATTATGTTAAATACAAAACTTGATTTGACTTCTTGTCTTGTCTGAATGCACTATGTACTGTCATTTCAGTTAGAAGGTTTTTATGTACTGCGTAGCTTGCACAGTATATCAAGAAAACATGAATCCCTAATTATAATAGTGAGACCAGTTTATTTTAGCCTCCTAAAAATGAACTGGATTAGACTAGAAAGGCTGACGAGGTCATAGTGTAAGTCCAACATGGTGCAACATTTTGTGCAAATGCTTCCTTGTGGGAAAAAGCAGAGCATATAATAATGAATCTTTTTAAGAGCTTTGTTCATGACTCACCTCCGTCAACTCTGGAGACTTGATCTCTTTAATCTTGAAGAAATAACCGATGGTGAGGAAGCCGATGGCCACCGCACTGACGCTGATCATAAAGATGACCAGCGGTGGACGGGTGTTGATGTAGCTCCTCAGGTTCTCTATAGGATTTAACAGGTACACCTGCATATGGACAAATACACAATCAACAATTCAGCATTAATGTCTAATCTCTTTAACACTGGCAGTAAACGACAGGCCTTGACACATGATGATCTGTAACGTATAAATAAGGAAGTCTCAAAGCCACTTATCTTTCCTAAACAAAGGATATAACTGCCTGTGCAATAACTTAAAAGAAATGACACTGAATTAGGTTGATTTCAAATATCTTAAAAGCGATTCATTAAAAAGATTGGGCCGGGATGTGGATAAAGGTGTGTTTAGCAGTCCTAGATATAACATATTTAGGGTTATCGTTATGTGAGCGGTTTAAGCGTGTCGTGCCAGGCCCGTTTTTTGTTGCGTTTCCACTAGGGATGCCAGAAACTGAGCATGATCAAATTCGAAAATCGGACAGCCCTGGCGAATATGAATCGATTATTGCTGCTGGCTTCCTCCAAGTTTACAGTAAAACAAACTGGTGGTGTGACCAATGGCCATTTACAATTATTAATACTATTACTAGCATTATCTTATATTTTGGTTGAAACTAAGCCAGGAAAAAAAATGAAAAACATAAATAATAATAAAAAATATAATATAAAAAAATCGAATTAAAAAAAATAATTTTCGATTATGGAGACTGTAACGAATATTCAAATAGCTGATGTTGGTTTTGCATTGAAGATTACGTCACGGCTCCGCCTACATTGCGTTACTATAGTTACTACCCCAGTTCCAGCAAGGCCTAACGAGGCCTAGCCATACCGTACTAAGCCGTGCGAGGCCCTGCAGTGGAAAAGGGCCATTAGTCAGTATCTGATGACTGCTTACAGATTTGATCGGTTATGAGCGAAATGCAAATAGTGTTTTATGCATTGTTGTGGTTAAGTTGATTAAATGTAGCATCTGATGCTCTGAATTGAGGAAGGATTTAATCTAATTTAAACAATATCATAATTCAGGGTTAAGGGTAATGATGTGCACAGGTTCCATGTAAGTCAAACTGGACAGATTTGATTAATGATTAATATCCTGATTAATCAATAACAACCCTTCAGTACATTTAAAGTCCCACTCAGTCTCCAACAGAACACATTTAAGGCTTTTAAACCATCTTTGGTCGACTACCTTAATGTTCTTTTATGCTGCAGCAAAGATTGCTTAGATCTTATAATTGTAAACAAATGTATTAATGTGGAATGGGTTGTTAACATACAGTAAAGGTCATAGACTGACGTCTCTGTAGCACTGTTGCTTTTAATTTAACTACTGTTTCTGCCTGTAATGATTCAATTTAAAGTTAGGGTATTATACGGTACATTGACTCGCAAAAATGAATAACTCTTAATCAGTTGTACCCTAAAGATCACTTGAAAATGGGGTTATGAGAGGAAAGTAAAAATTGTCAATCTCAATTAAAACCTTTTACAAACCATCAAAAGTCATCCATTTGTTTAAGAATACATCGCTCCCATGCAGACGGTCTTATATAGTTTGACTTAAAGTGTTTACTTAGAAGAACCATCTCTGTTAGTGCCAGCCAGGTCAACATACTTTATAATCCAGAAGGCTGGTTTATCAAGTTTAACGAGTGACTAAAGTTCAAAAGAAGATGTTGACATTGTGTTTGACCTGGAACACAATACAATGTTTTATTTCCTGTACTACACACCTTGTTATGCATTGTATATTACAATTATGGTTGCAATTATCTAAGTGGGTCATGTTTGTTTAGGTGAAACGTGGTTGTCATGTTATAAGTAGGGAGGCGTGTGGCGCAGTGGGTTAGTGCGTTGGTGTTCGGGTCAGGGGAGCACAGGTTCAAACCCCACTGCAGTCAGCATGCCGTTGTGTCCCTGAGACACTTCACCCCAAATTGCTCCTGTGGGGATTGCCCACAGTATTGAGTATGTAAGTGGCTTTGGATAAAATCATGTAATGAGTGTATTAAGCTATGTTTACTTTGCTTTTTTACTCTTGAGCTGTACATTTCTCTGATGTAATTTGACTTCACACCATTTTTTTTATATCTTAAGTTACTTTGCACAGTTGGATGAATGGTGTGAAATATAATCAAGTGTTGAATCAGACTTTAGTTCCACCTGGAGTAAATTCACAAGCTACCCTGCAGTATACAACGTCATTCAAACTAGCTGCACCTTTACCAGCTTTGAGAAGACTTTCATGATCAACCATTAGAAAACATATCATATATATTATTCTGAAATGGACCAATCTGCACAATGACTACTTTTACTGTCGCTACTTTCACTATATTTTGATGAGAATATTGTTTTACTTTTCATTTTGATTGCAACCTACACTTTGGTACTTCTACTTTTACTTAAGTACTTCTTCCACCTCTGTGTAGGATCAATAAAGTCCTTATATAATGTTTTTTTATCGAAAGGCAGGCTCCCGAACACCTCAAAGTGAATATATTTTAACCAAAACCTATACATTTAAAGGGTTTGTGTTTGACTTTCTGCATTAAAGAGACTGCATCCAGATTACATGAGCTGTCAACCTTGTAGCACGATAAGCTAGCTGCCAAGCTGTGATATATGTGGGTTTAAACTGTAAAACAGCGGTGTTAAATGTAATAAAAACAACACATTCTCACCATGTTTTCTTTCTCTACGTCGGATGCTAGCTGGGAGGTTCGTTGTGCGCCACAATAAAACAGCAGTTGGGCTAGCAAGCTAAGCTAAAGCTAGCATGTACTGCTTTTGCTAGCTGCCCCGAAATCTAGTCCCTCCTGCTGCTGAAAGCAAGGCTAAAAAGCAAAAGTCGGTGTTCGGTGGAGACAGCCAGACTTTCAGCGTGAGAAGAACCACGTATACTCCTTCCCATTATTTGCTGTAATGGTTCCCTGCAGCTGTGCTGACAAATATCTCCTGACTACAGTCTGGATAATAACGTCAATACTGTATCTGGGTCCTCCTCCGCACTGCGTAGTAAAAGCGCCGCCTTCCCATTATTCCCGTAGAACGTGCACTGGAAATTGGTCGAACATACGTTGAGTGACGTCCCGACATACGCAATTTACGTAAAAGGGAACGTTCAGTGTGTTTACATTTTGTTGAGAGTTAAAGCTGTAACGTAAGGAAAGGTAAGGTAATATAGCACATTTTCAGACACAGAGTCAATTCAGTGCTTTAAATCATCATTAACACTTAAGACAACAGAAATTAACATACAATAAATATAATTGAATAACAGATTCATAAAAAACATGCATAAAAGAGATA